ATCGCATTATCGTATAATAGTCAATAATAGTATTAATATAAAAAAATTTATAGTATTAAAATTTATATTTGAATATTCGTACGAAAATGAAAATTTAAAATGAAAAAATAAGAATAATATTTAAATTTTAGAACGTATGGTAATTCAAATGTTCATTATGGTAAAAAATATATAGTTTATTCTATTAGTGGTCAATTCTTGAGGTTTATTTTATTAGGCAAAAGAAAAAATCACCGGCCAATTAAATGTACTAACGTAATTTAGTGATGATTAAAAAACTTTAATTTTTTTAATAGTAAGTCAATTAATAAATATTTTAGATTTAAGTATAAAATAGTTATCTGATTTTAATGTATTCAATATGTATAGTACCGATAGCTTATGCATTCGTAATTAATTTAAAATAAAACATAAAAGTAAGTGATGTATTTTTAATCATTTTAGAAGAATTTATTTAGTATAAATACAATTATTTTACTGTAAAATTAATAAAGTTGTGAATGGCTTATAAATCGTGTATATGATCAAACTAACTATTTTAAATAATTGTACAATAATTGAAATGATGTAACGTTGAAAACAAATCTTACAACATTTTCTATTTGTGATAAATTTAAAATTGTACTTTATATATAAGCTACAATAAATCAATTTTGCAGTTCACTATATTTTTGAAATTTATAAAATAAATCATATTCTTTAATAACCATTTAAAATTCTTCGTGTTAATAAAAATATTTATATAGTTTTCATCCATCATAATTTAAATTGTTTGCTTCAATAATTTTTAATTATAACATTTTTGAAGAATACATAATATTTTTATTTTTTTTAATATTTATGTCGTAAAATAGAAGATAATAAATTTAAAAAATAAAAATGTATTACATGCAATGCATCAAAATTAAAATTATTTGAGTTTATTACAAAAGTAAAAATAAAGGTGCAATTCGTTAATGTAACGAATATAAGACATTTAATAGCACGAGGAGTCGTCTACATTTGAATAAATAGAACAGTGTTATAAAATTATCTATAATAAAAATGCATATCTAATTATACGGGAAATAATAAAATGATTAAGTAATTAATGCGTATTATTTTTGAGTTTGCTCGGTTAGTTTTGAAACAAAAATGCTTGAACAAAATATGTATGTGACTCAGTGCATGAATTAAATTGCATAAATTATTCTACAATTTGATTTTAATAATTTACTACTAATATTCGTTATAGAATAAATTAAAAATATATCTAAACTGAAATTATTTATGTAATTACTTATTAAACAGAACTATAATTTATTTTTTTCAATATATATTTTATGATTAAATTTTACTTAATATTTAAATAAATTTTACATATATGTAGAATGAAATTAGGACATTACCTAAATAATACAAAAATATATAAAGATATTTTCATTGATGTAATAGAATATATTAATTGTTAAAAATATATCTTAGATAATAAAAACTGCAATTTTTTATTAAAAATATAAATAATTATTTCGTAAAAGAAAATATTTTGAAATAATAAGTCAACTACTTAAAAAATATATAAATCAGTAGAATTGATAGTGTTAATGAGTTTTCTAATAAAGTATTATAAATAATTTGAATAGATGAATAGAAAAATACTTAGACATAATTATTTTACTTATATAAATTAACTTAGTATCTTTACACATAACGATTTCAATTATACAATTTTATATAAAAAAGTTATTTTTATTAATAAATTTAAATAAAATATATTCACTATATATTGGAACTAAATTTCTTTTATATAAAATAAGCAAATATTAAAATTAATATTAAAATAATAAATTGTTTTTAAAAAATTATATATTCATCGGACACGAAAGCGCATACATATGCGTCTATACACCAAAATAACTTAATTTTTTTAATAAAAACTGTACTGTTTCTGCAGATGGTATTTTATTAAAAGTCAATATCAAAATATTAATAGAAATGTTCAAAAATAAAACGAATTGTTTAATTTAATTATATCATTTTTCTAATTAAACGATAATTGAATGAGTTTCTATTTTATATGAAAATGTTAAGTTATGAAATCGTTACTTTAGGATAAAACAATTAATCGTAGCAATAATAGATCAATAATTTTGTATGCATCAAAACGAGCATAATACATAATATTAACTTATAAATTCACATAAATACCAGCACCATTTAAATTGCTAGAATCAGAAATTGAATTTAAATTATAGAATTGTAGATAATAATCATTATAAACTTGCATCTAGCATATCCAAATAATCTAGTATTTTCAATTATATATATGATCTTAAAATTATACAAAAAGTATTGAAAATTATTTAAAACCATTCTTACAAAATATTTGAGTATATCAATAAAACAAATTATGATTCATCCACAAGATTTATGTATCTACTAGTAAATTCCAGAATTAAATAATAATTATATGAATCCAACGATATAAAAACCACAATTATAGTAGGTTAATAAATTTTAAATACGAAAATTACGATGTCTGTGTAATTTGTTAAATAACAATGAATATACCATAATTTTAGAAAGTCATTATATATTTAGAATCATATAATTAATTAAATAAAAATTCGTATAATTAATATATTTTATCGAATAATTATTAATATTATTCACTAAAAATAAATAAAAATTGTCCAGCATCTTAAAATTACATTAATCGATAATACATATATTAATAATGTAAATTTATAATTCTTATATTTACATTTATAATTATTGTATATTAATATATAACTGTCAACTCCTACTGTTAGTGAGCTTTTTTACAAAGTATAATAACATTTAGCCCATGGTATATTTTATGGATTTATAATAGTCATAATATACTCTAATTTTAACTTTTTATTCTGTAATGATAATTATAGATTATACAATTATAAAAATCTAAAGCAAAGAAAATTAAATTTAAAATAATTAACGATTCTTACTTTCAAATATACTCTCATTTATATAAATATTTATATAAATAAAATCATAATATTTATATAAATACAGAAAAACAAATAATTTAAATTTAATACTTACATATATTAAATTTTTAATAAACTGTATATTATGTTTTCAATGCACAAAAAGAAAATAGATAAAATTGTATTAAAAATACAAAGATAAATAAAAGATACAATAAAATTCATTTAAATTATACTTTTTGGACTTAATACTTAATATATACAAGTATATATTTAATATATACTTGTATATATTAAACTAAATACAATGATTATTTATATTATTTAATTTAAAAATAAAAAGAATTTGATTTTATAAAACGTAATAATCTATTATAATAATAAATTTAAAAACTAACAAAATTAGATCGTATGTTAATACTTTAGTTTTTAATTATATGTTAAATCAAAATTTTGTATAATACTAGAAATAATAATTATTAAATAATGTATCCGTTTTTATAAATTAATTGAAATTTTAAATACAAGAATTTATATTTACTTATTTGAAAATTTGTAAACAATATTTGTACTACAACATTATTATTATTATATATTTTTATAATTATATTTTGACATCTTTGTCCAATTTGAAAAATAATTGTAATTGTAAATCAATATTTAAATGTGTAATGACATTCATATATTAAATTACCATCATTCAATTTTTACACAAAAATGAAGAAAATTCATTTGTATAAAAATATTATTTCGTAAAATAATATAATGATCGATATTTATTATCATAAACAAAAAACTTTTTAATTTCATCAACTACTATAAATTATGCTTTTAAAAAATTTGTAATTATGATGACTAAAATGTTATATTATTTTCGATATTAGTTTCCAAAAATATACAGTTATTTAATATTTCTATAATCATAAGATGAGAACACCTTATAAAATATTAATTGGCCAACTCTTAATTAAAAAATCATTTATTAAATTTTTTAATAAACATTCTCGACCATATAAAATTTATCAATAAAAAATCAAACTTTTTATATAAAAAATTTATACCTGTATTAAATAAAATAAGTAAAAAAGAATGTAATTAATAATTTAAAAATTATTTTTAAAGTAATATCTCGCAAAATTATTTTTTGTGAATATAAGTTTTTAAATCCAACACATTTTTAATTATAAATTTTTCTAAAAAATAACATCTCATTCAAAACATTTTATATTATATTTTATAAATATTTTCTTAACAATTAATAATATATATATATTCCATTTAGCCTATAGAATATTAAAGTAATGGTTAAAATTGTAATTATATTTGACTTTTAAATATTTAAATGATCTTTATCAAATATATATAAAAAGAATATATAAATTTAAAAATATGGTTATTTAACAATAACTATTATATATAAAGCTTTTACAAATATCTCGATATGTTTATAAAAACATTAGAAAAGTTGCAAATAAGAAAAATATGCTATTAATTATTTTTTGAAAAAACCAAAAAATTACTAAAAAATAGAAAACATACAATATTTAACAAATATTATAAGGACTATATGTTATATTTGTTACGGTTACTTTACAAGTTTGCATATATGCTTTTTTGTGTAAGAAATTTTACATATAATTGTTATGAATTTAGCTTTCGTTCAGTAAATTAATTTTAACGTATTTATTTGCACTGAAATAGTATACAATTATATCTTTTAATTTAATAAAAATTTATTGAAAATGCATTGCTATTTTCTGTTCTTGATGTACATAATATAATGAAATATATAATTTTATTATTACAATTGTATATAAAAATTTGTACTTTGTCATTCCATTCGATTAAAATTTTAAATAAATTTAAATATCTACTACCAATTGTTTTTGACTTAAATAATAAATTTCAATTAAAAAATTGTATTGCTTAAAACCGTATTATTCAATCTTTTTGAATATTGGAGAATTTAAAATAAGTAGTACACTTTTACTAATAAACAATAAAAAATAATATAATTTAAGAATAAAAATTGATTTAAAAGGTAATACTTACTTAATAACAGTCTGCTTCATACTTTTCGTCATTATTTTGTCAAGATATTGTAGAATTCGTATATTATACTATATTTTAAATTTCCCGTTAATACTCTTAAAAATCTATTCCCTAATTCATGGTACACTCAAATTTCATTAATATCGTAGAGCAGCTTTGGCGGGATTTTTGAAATTAATAAAAAAATTCTAATATATATAAATATTTAAAAATAAGCTAACGTTTGAGCATAAAGCTTGTTGACGTTTCGGAAAAAAGGCAAAGTAAACAGAACACTATAGGCAATTAGGAATTGAAGCAGAAAACAAAAAAAAATTGATCTTCATTCTGAACGAACCGATTGAACTGTTGCTGCCGGACTGAAGGAACATAAGTGTGCACCTTCTATTTAAAAGACCTCTCCCTCTTGATACCATGTCTTTTCTCGCTAGCGCTGCCTGTCATTCGTCTACATGCTCTCTGTCTCTCACTCTCACTCCCCCCCTCTCTCGCGCTCATATACATATGCGCGCGCAACAGGCACACAACCATACATAAACCCATATTAATTTTTTCAATACTTTACAGGATGCCTAGTTCTTTCTCACTCTCTTTTCCTACAGTAATTTTCTCTAAGGACCCATCATTTTTATATATAAATGCGTTTGAAGGGAAATTTAAAAATATCTAATAAAATGTACTTATTTTCAATTCTTCTAATAACAAACTTTATTGTTACTGAATAATTGTATTATTGAATGACTATTTATTATTATATAGTGAAAGTTTTCAAAAGAGATATACAAACTTTTAATTATTAATATTTACTAAAATCATATCGGTACAAAAAGTGTTAACTTCCTTAAATTCAAAAAAATTAATCAATGCATCATAATTTCATTGAATTACATATCAATAGTAAATTCTAGCAAAAATTGATTAGATATCTTGATTATTTTTATTTTTTAACAAATTCTTATAAGAATATAAACAAAACACGTAATTTCAATAAAATATACAAAACTCTTGATATTGTATTCTTTAAATTTTTATTAATCAATACAAAACTAATTTTTTAACTTAGAAATGAATTTATTTGAAGAAAATAAAATTTCAAATAATCCATGTGACAAATTTTATAGAAAAATCGATAAAACGTTATTAATAAGTTTTATAAATAGTATTTAATATAATTGCTAATATTAGGTAAAAATATTTTTCTTATACATTACTCGCTGTGCTGAATGAAAATATATTTTAACAGAAAATAAAGGTAACACGGAAAAAAACTGTATTTAATATTATTCATAAAAAAAGGAAATGGGTTCACCTATATATAAACATATAGCATATTTTTTGATTAGTTTGTGAGAGTCAACTTTTTTTCTTAAGCTTCATCTATTTGTATGCATCAGTTGCACCCTGATTTATACTTGTTATTATTTTCAAAAATTAATTTAAAAAAAAGTCTTTTACATTATAAACTAGAAAATAAATGATCTGAAAATTTTTATCCTTACAAAAACATTAGAATCTACCCTATCTAATTTTAAACAATGATGATGTTTTTTTAACTATATCAATAAGCGTTTAAGTACTTAAATAATAAGAAAATGTTTATTTATTACATTTATTAAATAAAATTTAAAATAAATAATTATGTCATTGTTATATGCATAAAACAAAAAGTTTTTAATGTCAGAAATATCAAAATTACTATTGCAAATATTTTAATTTTCAATAAATAAAATAAATCCATTAATAAATAGTAGTAAAATAGTTTAATTATTTAATTTCATCTTAACGTACATTGAATTGAAATTTAAGTTTATTAAAAGTTTTAAAAATAAATACAAATATTATTACTACTTTAAGCTTTAAATCAATCTAAATTATAATTAAATTATCATCGAAAATTAATTCAATCTTTAATTTTTTAGTTAATAATGTCTACTATCCGGAGGATGATCGATAATATCTTTGAAAGTCCGCGATAATCTTTTTCCTCTTTTATTACATTGTCTTTCTTTATATCAAATAATAAATATTGGCATATATTATGTACAGTCTTAATTTTTAATATACATACGTACATATATATATATTATAAATAAAAAATAAAATTTTTAATTATAAACATTTTTTTGTAAAACTAAAAAAGTTATTTAAAGATTATTATTATTTTGGACAAAATTATATTTTTAATAAAATATTTAGCAAAATATTATTGTTTATATAAATAAATCAGAAAAATTATGATTATTAATCAGTACAAATGGTCATATATTGATGCATTGCAAAATTATAATAATTGAAAATAATGTAGACAAAAAAAATCAATTACATTTATATTTATGTATTATTGAATTTGTTGTTCCAATTATTTGTTTAATATAGAAATATAATATATCATAAAATTATAAATACAATGTTTATATATTCATAACGTAGTAAAAAATATTTAAAATGTTTATTATTATTATATAATTAATAATTTAAATGTATGATTACCAAAGAATGACTGTATGTTTAATAATGTTCAATTATTACATTACATAATAATACTAATAATATACATGTCAGTCAATAGTATATAATTTGTTGAAATATTGACTATTAGTACATAGAAAAAATTAAAAATTGCTTCAAAAGAGTTCAAAGCGCAAATAAATTATGAGGTTAAATTAGAGTCTTATATCTCTTAGAAATAAAGGAATTTGATATTCTAATGCTTATAAGGTTTCCAACTTATATAATAATAAAGTATCGTTATTTATCATATCTGCAATTTTGTTCAAAATCACAAATGAAACTGTACATAATAAAATAAAATATTATTTTCCAACAAATAACATTTAAATTTTAAATAATAAAATGTAATTTTTTATCTAACTATTATTTTATATGTGTATGTTAAATATATATAATTTCTTAAATTATATAAATTTGTTGAATTAATAAAACTTAAACATATTATAATAAAAGAAATGAAATGCATATAATATTATCGTATAATTACCTGATTTAAATAAAGGAAAAGAAATAAAAATAATAGAATAAACAAATTAGGTTCTACTTTGGAAAAATATAAATCAATATATACCAAATTAAATTGGAAGTAAAAATTTTACATTAGTGACTTGTATCATTATGGACAAGATATAAAATTTGGTAAATTTTATTAAACTAATGAACCAGTAAAGTTGAGTATATAACTCACTGTATCAAATGCCTTATTTAAATATTTAACAAATCTTATAGAAATCATATATTCTATATTAGAAACGAATATATTAGACAAATAAACATTATTTGTTACATTATTTGAAGTATAATATAAAATAACTAGATTTACAAATATATTTTATTTTTCATTTCTTTTTATTTATTTAATATAAAACAACTATATAGATTTATTTAAAATAAGACTTATTTAAATATATGAATAAAAATAGAATTATAATAAAAGAATTTATATTCATAATTACATTTGCTATTAAAGTCTATATTAAAAATACTATAAAAAGATATTTAAAAAAATATTATTTTATATTTAATATATGAAATTGCAATGAAAATTACAAAAAGGATATAAAAAGATTATGTAACTTTAATAGTCTTAAAATAAATATATTTTAAATAAACTTATATTTTGAAAATTATTTTTTATTGTTGGAACTATAGTTTTAAAAAGAGAAAATTATATCAACAAATTTTCTACAACTAAAAACTTGATCATATTCTGTTTAATCTGGGAAAAAACTAAAATTTTATTAGATTTTCTTATGAAAATTGTAGTAAAGATAAAAATATTTAATTTCTTATTTGATTAATATCTGTTTTCAATAAAAAAAATATATGTACTCCAAGTATTTTTTTTAAATATTCAATTAAAAATTCTATTTGATTCATTATAATGCTATTTAAGTGCCTATATGAAAACATTTTATTTTATTTTATTTTCATCTACAATATCTGCACTTAAACATTATTTCTTAAATAATAAAAATATTTCCTTTTAATAAATTTTATGCAATATTTTATTGTAGATATTTTTATAGGAGACGTAAAGATGTTTGTTTTTTGACAAAGCACCTATTTATTATTTATAAATAATATTGCTTACTTTTCATTTTTCTTCATATTGACTTAACATATAAGTTAAAAAATTACTTTAAAATCAATTTCATCTCATTCTTTACTGCATTTGTGATTACTCCAAATTTAAAACTTGAAATATAATCGAAACTATAAATGTTCAGCTAATTTAAAGTTTAAAAGCTATATCCAATTTAAAATTATAAAACAAAATCTAAATTAAATCTATATCCAGTCTAATTCTGATCCAAACTCTAAAAAATTTAATGTATTATAAAATCGAAAAATTTATAACTAATCTGAAATATAAAGATTTATACTCAATTAAAAATCTAAGTAGATATTTAATCTTGAAATCTAAAAATATGAATTGAAAAATATAAATTTAATTTAAAATGATATTAAAAATATAATTTCGAAAACCATTTAAAATTAGTGTGCCTCCTGTTTTATGAACTTACATAAATTAAGAGCTCTGAAAAGATTTAATGTTAATTAATGAATATCAAATTAAAATATATAGGAATGTGAAAATTCGTCTTTTTAAATGATAAATATCAAATTATTTTAATTAAAAACTTTTAAGAGTCCAAAAGAAGTTATGAGTAATAAAATTATAATAGTGGCAAATAATTATCTATGTTTTATTCTAATTAATATATTAGATCCATACATAGGGATATTTCCATTGAATTGTGTCTTATATTGTAAAAGAGTAAAGAAATTTAATTTTTATATATCACTATCTTTTTAACGATTTGTGGATCTTTAAATTATAATATACTACTCATTACATTCTGTCTCAGTATATGTAGATCATCTTCTCATGTATGTGTTCAATATAATACAAAACCAATTCTTATAAATGGTGTTTCTTGAATAATAACCCACTATAGTCATTTATTTATACATAACACTTTTAACATTATTTTTTGTTCTCCTCTATAACATTAGGTTAGTAATTTTAACCACCCTATGTATATAATATTGGTGTTCTGTAAGCCAGATTTACTTACCCAATGATTCAATATTTTATCCGGATACATACCGCTGTATTTTACTGCTAGATCATTTCTATCGTTCTAGATCCTTTTTCATTATATACAAAAGAAATCCACTATGCATTTACATTTTAGATCAAGTCTGATGTGTGATATTTGTTCATAAT